TTTGACCAGAGCAAAAGAAAGTAAAGCGTCCAGCGCGATTACGTTGGTTATGCCCAACTGTATTCAGAAAAATTGCGACTTGTTCCTCAATTCGAACGTATTTACTGTCAACCAATCCATAAGTTCGCAAACGAGCAAATACTCTTTGAAATAGACCTATTTTCATCCTAAGGAGATCACGACATATTGTATTACTCGTGCCAAACATTCGTGTAAGTGTTATTTCTCTTTCAGAATTCCAATTTGTATGAGGAGCTCTTGGAAGATGTCGTGCACGACGCCTAAGTTCGTTATATATCACAATCGCTTGCATGACCATCGTCCAAAATATACCTAAATGTTGTCGTCGGCATCGACGTTGATTCGTTGTTGTAGCCATGTTATAAACTACCATGGTAAATAAAAATTAAATAAAAAATTTGTTTAGAAAGAATAACATAAAAGCATTATAGAATAAAAAGTTAATTGTAGCTACATCATAATAGAAATTCATTGCATGGCCTTCCAAGCATAATGTCAACTGGTTGTATTAGAATTCTTAAAATCATTTTTTTCAATTTCATGCTTCCCTAACTCATTCGCACCACAGTAATCCCCCAATTAATAGAATCAAGAACATAAACTCAAGGACATAAATTGTTAAGCTACTTCTAAAGGCTCAGTTGAATTGATGAGAGAGAGGGTAGTGATTTGTAAGTGGGTAGAGATGAGAGAGAAAGAGAGATATTAACATAGAAATGAGATAAAGAGATATTAATGTGGGTTGGTTACCTAGAATTTTTGGAAAGGTTAAATTCCATGGAAAATAAAATTCACCTTCCCCCAAGGAAAATATTTTCCTTGTATTCAAGGAAAATGTAGTCACGTGACCAAAAGAAGGAAAATATTTTCTTTAAAAAAAATTGTCAATCAAACAAGACTAAAGTAGGAAATAAGGTGGAAAAAACCATTTTCCATGGAAAATGTGTGCAATCAAACACACCCTAAGAGTATCTCCAAGTAGGGCTGGGCAAATCTCCCGAACCTAACCCGACGGTTCTTGTCAAATTAAATACCGGAATGGATATCTGAATTAAGAACCGACGGGTTCGGTTCGGTTCTCGGTTCTAGACTAAAAACCGAAGAATCGAATAAGAACCGAATCTTTCTAATTTTTTTTATATTGAGTAAATCAAATTATTCTAATTTTAATTTTTTCTAAACAAATTAACAAACTAACAATTTCTAAATCCAAATTTTTGGCACAATAATTTATTTCATTTCTAATTTTTTAATTTTTTGCCTACTTACCCATTTTATTGTTTCATTTCTTAGCCCAACAAGATCCAATCCACTAAATAACCATAAACACCTACACTAAAGTGCATAACGCTGTCTCGACTCTCGCATTCACTCTCACAGTCTCGCTGACATTCCAAAACCTATACAATCGTCGACCGACTCTGTGACCACCGACCGAAACTGTGACCTCCACCGACCGAAACTTTGATCGTAGCGATCATTTGAACAAAATAGTCTACTAGTCTCTCACATTCCAAAACCATTGAATGTGTCATTAGTTGTATTTATATAATATTGTTCTAAATGTTAAAAAATTTAATTATAGTACAGAATCGAACGGAATCAAACTGAACCGAACCCAAACGGTTCCATAATTATATTTGGATCCGACGGTTCCATTTACTAGATACCCGAAAATTTTGGTTCGGTTCAGTTCCCTGCGCCCACCCCTATCTCCAAGAGACTTTTTTAACTAGAAATTCTCTATATTTTAAAAAGTCAACCCTTAAAATCATGTTTCAAAAACTCTTTAAATTAACATTTTAATTTAGAGAGCGAGTTTTACTCTCTAAATTAAATGTATTCAAAGTATTTCAATTTTTAATTTAAAATAATAATAAAATAATCTAGAGAAAAACTAGTTAAAATAGAAAAAAATAATAAATATTTTTTAAGAGTGGTAAAATTAAGTGTTAAATATAAAGAGATTGTTAAAGTATTTCAAAATTTTAACTCCCTAAATTTATAGAAAATCTCTTAAAGACCTTCTGAGTGAACTAAGTAGCATGCACTCCTATATAAGGAGACACATGCTTTTGTACAGTTAATATCTTTTTGTTGAAGCCGCTAATCCCCATTAACCACTTCCACAAACCAACGAAAAGATTATGGGGAAACCTCAATTGAGATGGATTTGAAAAGTTATTCTAAATTTAAGTGTAGATTTTATTGGATCTTAATGAAATTCATTAAAATTTAGGTGTCATCAATTAAAATTTTAATGAAATCCTTTAAAATTTGGGTATCCTCAATAATTAGTAAATTTATAAAAGATTTCATTAATAGAAGAATTTTATAATACTTGGATAGGTTTCAAGCTTACAAATATATATAAGCAAATCTTTTGAAATTTCACCACATTTGATAAGATTCTTATGAAATTTGTAAGAATCTATTCAAATCCACAAAATTTATAATCCTTTAAAATTCATTAAAATCTTAGTTGAGAACACCTCGTAAATCTAACTCCATCCACCATCAAATCAAGTAGGATTCTGGAAAAACTATCAATAAATTTACATGACCTTCTATGCCATTTGATTATTTACAGTTCTATGCTGGTACCACTCCTTAAGGCCGAGGATGGGTCGAACCTCACTACTGTAACATCATAACTGTATATGACATTCAAATAAGATTACATTAGTAAAACCTCCATAGATATAACCAGAAATCTAAGCCAATCTTTGCTAACAATCCACAACCAAGTCAATAAACAAATAGAAAAGAAAAGAAAAACCAGCAGACAAGAACTCCTTGCTCACTTGTAGAACAGTAGACAAAAGCCAACAAGTTTAGAAACAATAGAAGCAAAGAAGCAATAATTCACGAAGGCTGTTAGAATGAAAGAATCATACTAAATTCTCCTCTCGAAAATTAGATCTCCAATTTATTTGCAGATATGAAGCCTTCTAGTCTAAGGCTATACAGAGATATGATTAATCGACCATACTTCTTATCATAGATAATTGAGTGCAATAATGTGGCAGAACTTTAGGCTTTTATATAGTTGGGAATCACGAGGGCAGTATTTTATCATGGTGTCGGATCCAAAGTTTTTATGGATTCCTTCCTTGTCACCAGGGTCTACCCAAAAGCAATATGTCTTAAAACGAGGAGGCCATAGTGAAACTCTTCTTTATTCCACTGTTTCGAACTTCATGAAGAACTCCTAGTCATCTATACGCATTCCCTCAGTTCACTTCACAGGTATCGTTCCCATTGTTTCATACTTAAGCAAGACCTCACCTCACCTTTCTCTTGAAAGCAATATGACATCAAGTACTACCACGAACCAACAAAGAGAGATCAATTAAGGCTCACAACCACCTAATCAAGTAGAATTCGGTTAGAAGTAGGTATCAAACTATCAATTAACATATCTGCTAATGTAACATCATAACTACAGGTGACATAGAGACAACATTATATTAGCAACCCACACAGAAGCAGATATTTGAATTCCATTAATCTGATTTACTGTTTACTCTCCACAACAAAGCACACAACTAGTAAATTATATAATTGCAATTAGACCATGACATCAGACAACATATATAATCATATAAAGAAAAGAGAGCCGAATTTACAAAAAGAAAAATCAATGAATCCAAGTATATTGAACCTGATCAATCTTGTATACGTAGGCATACGAGATTAAAACCAATTTATTATATTATGATAGATATCTAGAAATCAAAGCCACCCATGTCGCCGCCCATTGCATCGTCATAGCCATTATCATAGGCAGATGCATCGTTCATCATATCACCAACGAGCATCCCTCCAAGCAATCCAGCCCCCAACCCCATTGCTAGACCCGATCCCATCCCGGACTTCTTCTTAGGATTCTGCACCGGAGGATATCCACCGTACCCCTGCTGAGGCGGCGGAGGATAACCGTACCCAGGAGGCGGGTAACCACCTGGTGGTGGATAGCCATAACCTGGATGAGGAGGATATTGGGGATATTGCTGATATGCCATTCCAGGAGGAGGAGGAGCACCGTATCCCATTCCCTGCTGGGGTGGCATGCTTCCTCCGGCAACATGTGGTGGCGGCGCTGGATACGCAGTCATAGGCTCATCCACATGCTTTTTTGTCTCCACTTGTTGCGCGAATTTCTCCCCAAATTTATATGAAAACTTGATGCTGCCCTTGGGTTTTCCAGACGAGGTTCTAACCTGATATTCAATTACTTTTTCTTCACCGGGATTCGAATTGACATTCTGGAAAAGCTCGTGGATCGGAACAATGACCTCGCCAACCTCCTTGTCCCCTCCAATTGACCGATCTGCCATGATCTGGAAGTGAAGGGACAGGCCAGACTTCGTCAAATACGGCTCATCAACGACGAAATCCATTGGATAATTCCACTTTGGATGGGTACCGCAATCCTTGTCGACGAAAGTCTTCTTCTTCGACTTGGGGTAACCCACAATCGACACAACAACGTAAACATCCATCTTGGAGAAAAGATTGACATCCTTTATGCCCTCTGCCGATATAACTTTGATGTCTAATGGCCGATACTCCATCTTGTTCACAACAAGGGAGAATGAGATTGAATTATTGGGATTTGGGATTAATTTAAGAAAATGATTCGAGTTTTGAAATCTTATAATAGAGACATAGAAAAAGAGAGGATAAAACCGTGTAGAATTAGGTATTCTTCTGAATTGTAGCTGTACACTGAAGCCTACGGGTGGACCGATTAATATATAGAGGAATTAGATAAGGAAAAGCGCAGGAAGGAAGGGTGTAAGGCATGTTTGGGCTTTTGAAGTTAGTCAAACATACTTATAAGCAGCTTCAACTGCCAAAAATGTTTGAGCTTAAAAATAATAATAATAATAATAATAGTAATAATAATAAATCCCTTTTTTCTTAGAAAGTGATGGAAAATAAGCACACGGAGTAATTATTCAATGTACAATGATTGAACTTTTAACGAATTTTCAACTGAACATCGAAACTTTAATTTTCTCAAATCAACTTAATAAATTGTAATTTAGTTTCAATCTTTACGTGAACCAAATTAATGAAAAATACATAATTGAGAGTCGTATCACAATAAATCTTCTGCATAATCGTTACACGACATGATAAATTACCACATTTCCACGTCATAAAAGTATTAAATTATTATGATGGAAAATAAGCAAACTTGCTGGGGCTATATTTTGTGCAAGTGATTATTTTTTGCTTTGTCGAGGAAAATATTATTCATAAATATATAAAGAATATTAGATAATTTGTCATATTAATTTAACTTAAAAATAATTAGATTTTAAACATAAACATGCTTATCGGCACAATATATTTCATGACTTTAATGTTATTCACTTAAAAGAAGCTTATTTCTTTGCTTATGGCACCAAACATGTTCTTAAATTAAATAACTGACTGAGAAAATGGGGTATTATCTTGGACCGTTCTTTACGTAAAGTGATATTTTCTTCCTCGTTTAACGATTATGATGGCGATAAAGGGTAACGTTTATCCCTATCCGCTGCTTTTCAGGGGCAATTTCGAGAATCTCGAAGATTCTCCCGTGTGAATTGCGTGTGCACGAGTTGGTGCGGACACGGATTTGGTATTGGGGTTGTGGTTCAGGGCACTGGTGAAGAATTTTCTATGCAATTGTGCGCCAATAATCTTAGGCGTTAAGCTTGCGTGTGATCCGACTGTTCTCAAATTTTCTATAGGATATGGTTATTCCGAGCTTGTTTGGTTCGAATTAAAATTTAATTTTGATTTAAATCAAAATCAAACAATCAATGTTAACCACATTTTTCATGAATTTCACAAATTTTTAATCATACATTTCAAGCACTTTTATCACTATATACTAAAAAATTTAATTTTAATTCCCACTAAACACCAATATTACATGTGTCACACACCAATTTAATCGAAAAATGTATAACATTAAGCTCCTGTTTTGTGGGGATTAAAATCAAATTTTTAGAAGATTTTGATAAAAATTAATAAAATATGTATTTAAAAAATCATAGGTTCTTTAAAATATATGTTTAAAATTTGACTTTGATTTAAAATCTAAATTTTAATTTAGGGCTGAATTATAAATTTTCATTTAACTGGCGTTCTAGTTGCCATCTTTCTTTTTGATATAGTGCAGACTGAGCCACGAACTTAATGGTGTTAAATTCGTTGTTTCGAGTATCTTTAGCTTCTTGATTCCTATTTTAACTATGTAGTTCCAACCAAGAGAAGATGAAGATCGAGTACCACGTTAACTTGGACTGATTTTTAGTTTATTTTGGGAGTTTCGGTTCCGAAATACATGAATATGAGGAAATCATGCTTTCCGAAAGGGCAGATTGGGAAGAATAATGGGTTGGATTCAAATTGTACTGGGAGTGCTTGTTATAATTGTAAGCATATCAAGTTTATCTAGATTCTATTCTGGATCGAGGAAGTACTCGCCAAGGTGGAGAGACTGCAGGACAAGTAAGAATTGACTGTGCAACACACGGAGAAGAGGGAAAAGGACTTACACAAAAGTAGTATTTCAAGATTCGAGTTTAAGAAGTTTTTGGAGATGAGGTACTTAGACCACTTTATAGTGCTCGTATTGCTCTTAGGCGGATTTGTTTGCCAAGAACCCGAAAAAAATGAAAATGGAACGCACGTTGAAGACCCTTTGATCAATAGTTTCACGATTGAGGAGATTCAGAAGTATTTATTGCATGGAGTTGGGCTTATACAACACAATTGGGCATGCTTGCGTGTCGATGAAGAAGGAATTGGAAGGGTGCATGGAGTATGACATTGGTTCTTATTGCAAAGATGATTGGAATTTAGCACAAAACCTAATGATTCAAGGTTGTGAACCATTGCCCCCGAAAGCAATGATTGACAAGGGCATCAAAACTCTACTTGAAGCCTTCTACCATCAACGAGTCCTATTGGTCCTAGACGATTATTATTGTGACTCATTTGAAGTTTAAACGTAAAATATTGAAAATAGATTGCAGAGAAAAATAAGAACACAAAGCAATTTTTGGCCCAAGGCCCCGAGGTTCGGCTAAAGCCTACTCCCCCTTGAGCATCCGTTAGGATTTTTGCTCGAATCCACTAGATCAACCCAAAAACCAGGAAAGTTACAAGTACATAATGAACACCAAGTTTTTGCCTCTTGAACACACAGATCACCCTCAAGGATACAATATAATTCCACAAAGGAATAGATATCCACTCTCTAGCACACTAGTATAATTTCACTCAGAAAATACATCAGATTCATCACGGAATATGAATGTTCGCACAGATAAGAGAGAAGCAGTCAAGAGATTAGGGTTAGGGTTCGAGAATCTATCTCTCCAAAAGTCAGGCTCCAGTATTTATAAGAAAAGGAGCCAATATGCTGATCCAACAGTCCTTAGTTTGCCAGATGTCAGTCATTCAGCCAGAGTCACATTATATTAGTAAAGTCGCATTATCAAAAAACACGGTTCCTTTCAATCTCCAATCTTTAGCTTACTAGATCAAAGAAGTGGGCTGTAGTGCTAGCTGGATCAGGCACAATGTTGGGCTCAAGAATTGCAGTAGCCCAATACCTTCATAATCTCCACCTTGCTAGAATTTTGAGGCCAATACTAAGTGGATTCTTACAAAGAAACTAACTTCATTTGCTCAAAAAAACTTGTAAAAGAAAAAAGGACAAAGTTAGTCAATTTCAAGATTCAATAATCTTAAAGAATCTATGAATTTACTCAGAGGTATTACCTTTGTACCTGCACCAGTAGGATTTATTTTAGTAGGAATTTTGACCAACTTTATTTCACCTTTTTCAACAATATCTCTAATGAAGTGAAATTTAACATCTATATGTTTGGTCCTATCATGAAAAATTGGATTCTTCTCAAGAAAATGGCACTTTGGTTATCTGAACACAACTCTACCTGATTTTCTACAAGTCCTAACTCATTCAGCAAACCCATCAACTAGAGGCCTTCTTTTACTACCTCTGTAGCAGTTATGTATTCAGCCTCAGTTAAAGATAATGCTACCAATTTCTGAAGTTGTGATTTCTAGCTTATGCATGTATATGCAGTGGTAGATTTCCTATTATCATAATTTCCAGCAAAAATCTGAATCCACATAATCTTTCAGTTTAAGTCCACTTTTATCTTATTTAAACATAAGACCTAAGTTCTGTGTGTCTTTCAAATATCTAATTAATTTTTTCCTGGCTTCCCAATGAAGCTAACCTGAATTACTCATAAATCTGCTTAATAAACTTATTGCATAAGCAATATTAGGTCTAGAACACACCATAACATACTTGACAGAACCCACAACATTTACATATAGTACATTCAACATTCTTTTAAATTCATCTTCATTTTTATGTGATTGGTCAATTGACAATTTCACATTCCCAAACAAAGGTAAACTAACAAGTTTTGCATCATACAAAGAAAATTTTGTAACAACATTTTCAATATAAGCTTTTGGGGTTAAAAATAACTTTCCATTAGGCCTATCCCTTTTTATTTCCATACCAAGTACTTTTCTAGCAGGTCTTAGGTCTTTCATTTCAAACTCAAACTTCAATTTTTCTTTCATAGAATTTAAAGTAGCAGAATTATGACCAGCTACAAGCATATCATCTACATATAGGAGCAAGTAAAATGATTCAAATTCTCCATCCTTTTTGAAATAAAAACAGGGCTCGTATTTAGATTTTATGAAATTCAAGCCTTGTTTAAGAATCAAATATTTCATACCATTGTCTTAGAGCCTATTTTAGACCATATAAATATTTATTTAATAGACACACTAATTGTTCTTTTCCTTTAACCTCAAAGCCTTTTGGTTGTTTCATATATATTGTTTCATCTAAGGATCTACACAAGAAGGCTATCTTAACATCAAGTTGTTCTAATTCTAAATCAAATTGTGCTACAAGGGCAAGTAATATTCTAATGGAGGTGTACTTTACTACTGGTGAAAATATTTCAGTATAATCTATACCCTCTCTTTGTATAAAACATTTTGCTACAAATCTTGCCTTGTATCTCCTATCATTTGATTTAAATTTGCCTTCTTTAATTTTATACACTCATTTACAATCAATCAGTTTGCAATCTTTGGGCTTTTCTACTAAATGCCAAGTTTTTTTTTTACTTAGAGAACTCACCTCATCTTGCATTAATGCAAACCATTTCTCAGATTCTCTAGAGGTAACTGCCTCTTCAAATTACTCAAGCTCCTTATTTAAAGGATCAAATTTCAAGTGTGCAGCTACGAAATCTGCATATTGGTATCTTAAAGGTGGTCTGATCTATCTTCTCTCTCTGTCCCTAGTTAATTGATAATCGTGTAGATCATTTGTAGGCTCAAGGTCCTGATTATCACCTATATTTTCATCAACTAAGATGGGTTGAGGCTCTTCCTAAGGTTGCTCCACCTCAATTTGAACATGCTCAGGTAGGTTCTGATTACTAGAATCAATTTCAGAGATTACAAAGTCTTTATCTAATATTTCTTCAGTTCTGTCACCAAGACATGGAAATACAGATTCATTAAAGACCATAGATTTGCTAATTATCACTTTATAGCCTTTTATTTCTTCAATCCAAAGCCTATAACCTTTTACTCCTTCCCCATATCCTAAGAAAACACATTTTAGAGATCTGGGATCAAGTTTGGTCTCAGTTTGATGAGCATAGA